TTACTTGTGTTGTCTTTGTGAACTATTAAACATTGTTTGATGATCTGAAACATGGAAATGTGATAAATGTGCAAAAAAAAATCAGGAAGGAGGTAAATACTTTTCCATACTGCTGTATGTAAGAACTACAAAATGTTTTGTAGTTCTTTTCTTTAAGATGTACTGTACATTTGTGATGAAAGTGATGAAAGTATTCATTTTAAATAGGTGTGAAGTTAGATGTGCACTTGAATGATCTCATATGCTATTCATGGGCAGAAACACCTGGCTGACTTCTTACAATTGATGGAAAGACACCAGTAGCTCAGAAATATTACTCTTCACAGTGGCAGCGAACAGAAGAGGAGTGCACATGACAAACCTTAAGGCAGATGGGCTAAAGCAGCCGAAGACCACTCCTGTCAGTCAAGAAGAAAAGTCTGACTTTGCAAAGGGCTCAAGCTCACCAAAACTGGACAGTTGATGGCTGGTCTGACGGACTGCCATTTCCGCTGAGACTGGAGGGGCAGAAACTGGTGTCAGTGTTAATAATGTGGGTAGATTTCTAAGGTGGTGGTGTGGAAAAGATTTTTTACTTGGAAAAATTTGGGACTCTTGGTGTATTTGGCTCTACATCTGCAGTTTTTTATGTGCTTCATGCAGGTCTAGTTTAGCCACATCACTTTAGTCTCAGGTCTACTTCATACAGGCCCTCATCAAGCCCAGGTCATGACATCTGGCCCTTGTCTGGCATACAGATCACTGGTTTGTGCCACTGCGTATCGTTACTAACTATCAGAATCAGAATCAGAAAGGGTTTTATTGCCAAATGTTGAGCAGGTTTACAACATTAGGAAATTGCTGCGGTGCTTCAGTGCAAACATACTGTCATAAATTACGTTTAAATAGACATGAAAATAAAAATAAGAATAAGAATTAAAAGTGCTACGTAGAAAGATATATACATGAGTGCAGGTGGTGATCAGTGCCAAAACATGGAATGATGCAGTGAACACAGCGTAGGGTCATGTGTTAGTGGTGGGGACAGTCGTACGTTTATTGTTCATGAGTCCAACAGCAGAGGGGAAGAAACTGTTCTTATGGCGAGAGGTTCTGGTGCGAATGGACCGGAGCCTCCTGCCTGAGGGGAGCAGGTCAAACAGACTGTATCCAGGGTGAGAAGGGTCAGCTGAGATCCGAGCTGCATGCCGCAGCGTCCTGGAGGTGTACAGGTCCTGCAGAGATGGGAGTCTACAGCCAATCACCTTCTCAGCAGAGCGCACAACACGCTGCAGTCTCTGTTTGTCCCTGATAGTGGCTCCAGCGTACCACACGGTGATGGAGGAGGTGAGGATGGACTCGATGATTGCAGTGTAGAATTGCATCATCGTCCGTGTTGGCAGGTTGAATTTCTTCAGCTGCCTCAGGAAGTACATCCTCTGCTGGGCTTTCTTGATGACGGAGGTGATGGTGGGCTCCCACTTCAGGTCCTGAGTGATGGTGGTACCCAGGAAGCGGAATGAGTCCACAGAGGTGATGGGGGTGTCAGTCAGGATGATGGGGGGGGAGTGGGGCTGTGTGCTTCCTGAAGTCCACAATATTCTCCACTGTCTTCTGGGCATTTAGCACCAGGTTGTTGTGGCTGCACCAGGACACCAGACGTTCAACCTCCCTCCTGTAGGCAGACTCATCCCTGTCCGAGATGAGCCCAATAACGGTGGTGTCATCTGCAAACTTGATTAGCTTGACAGACTGGTGGGTGGAGGTGCAGCAGTTGGTGTACAGGGAGAAGAGCAGAGGAGAAAGAGCACAGCCCTGAGGGGAGCCGGTGCTGATGGTCCGGGAGTCCGAGACATTCTTTCCCAGCCTCACATGCTGCTTCCTATGTAAATTCTCCCATGACTACATTGTATTTTAATGGCAGTATAAAGAATTAAAATGAAAAAATAAAAATAAAAATTTCTGGAAAAGGAAAGGAAAGCCACCTTAATTGATGGTCTCTATTAATATTTTTCTTCAGTAGGCCTACGTTATATTTTGTTAATAATTCCAGAACAGAGTCTGCCATGTGTAGTGCAGACCGGGGCACTGGTATGAAAAATAGTCAAATGAGAGACAGAAAAGCTCCATAAGTTACAAAAAGAAATCATATAATTACACATGGTCAGAGCTATTAATAGCACCAGTATTCATAACATGAATAAAAATGTTTTTTTATTCATTATTAGAGCAGTACAACTACCTTATTTTATTTGCTATTAATATCAGTTTCTTTTGTGTTTGTGAATTAACTATATATTAAACTTGGATAAATTCAATTTTATTTATATAGCACCAAGCCAAAACAACAGCTGCCTCAAGGTGCTTTATATTGTAAGGTAAAAAACATACAATAGCTGACCAAAACAATCAGACAGCCCCCACTTGGCAACAGTGGGAAGGAAAAACTTTTAACAGGAAGAAAGCTCTGGTAGATCCAGGCTCGGGGAGAGGCAGCTATCTGCTGTGACCAGCTGGTGGTGAGGGAAGACAGACAGATTTGCACATTTGCTTCAAGTTCTTTCTTTTGAAATCTCTCTGTGTGAAAAGGGCATTCACATAAACTGGGCATACACTTTAATAAAAGGTGTGGCTATGAGAGACCTGCAGAAATTATGTAATAGAATCGTGTCAACATAATACAAAATATTCCATGGGACGCACAAGTGTTCGTTAACTTGTGCAATGATTTTTGAAACAGTTCATGAGTAGGCAGCATAACTGCTAATAGGTTTTTTCTCTGCATGTGCATTGTGTTTTTTCCCCACTGTACTCTACATTTGTTGACTCACATCCTGTGTTTGATACTTTAAAAAGAAGCATCAAACATTTCCACATTTTCCTTCTCTCCTTCTACGTTCACACAGACACACAGTTTTCTGTCCCTCTGCCTTGATCCTTCTCCATTTCCATCTGTCCCTCTCTGTCTCTCTCCCCCACCCCTTCCATCCATCCTTCTCTCTAGTGGCGCTGGACACACAGGTAGTGAAGCAGCAGGCGGTGTGGTGCTGGATAATTACCTAGTGTTTGGAGCTCCACAGGAGCCTGGGCCATCCGGGGAGAGGAGGAGGGGGGACAGCGGCAAGCCTGGCTGTATTTATAATGCACTCCGCTAACAGTACACTCCAACACTTTGCCAGTGGAAATGTAGGCCCAAATAAATGGGCTTTTGTTGCCACCTGAAAAGGAAACGTAAGAAAATGCACTTTTCATCTGCCTCTTTACCCCTCATTTTTCATGCTGCTGACTCTCAGCCATACCCACCCCCCCACTCCTGCTGTTTCTCCCTTCATTTACCTGCAAATTCCGCCCCCAGACAGTTTTACACAAGACAATTTTACACAAGAAAACATAGTGTAGAGATGCTTATGACTGGGATTAAGTTTGTTTGTTTGTTTGCCTGAATGGTGCTGAGGCTTTGTGCACACCATGGGAAATATGATCCATAGCTGTCAAGAAAAGCAGATGAGGTGATGAACAAATACTCATAAAAATGCACACACACACACACACACACACACACACACACACACACACCAGTCACATATCTGTGACTTCAGAGGACATTTAAATTCCTGGAGACAATGAAAAACTGAGTTATGCTATCAATACTTGCTTTTTGCTACCATAAAATACGTAACCATAATTTGACTGTGTGAATCTCAGGCTATATAAAAAGACCAACATAGCCATGACATTGCCACATGCCTTCTGAACGCCACATTTTTAACCTGCAAGATTTATAAAAGAACCAGCCTAAAGGTGCAAATAGAATTTTAGCTGCTTTCATGTTGGAGTTTTTTTAGCCCAAAACATCTCTCAAGGACAGGCAAAGTGCTGAGTTATCAGCTCAGGATATAGGATAGCTCCTTAATTGGTGCAAAGACACAGATCAACAAAATACTACAATTTCAAAGCACAAACTTTAATGTTCTCACCAGTGTTGGTCAAGTTACTTGAAAAAAGTAATCAGTAACTAATTACTGATTACTTCCCCCAAAACTAATTCCGTTACTTTACTGATTACTTATTTTCAAAAGTAATTAGTTACTTAGTTACTTTTCAAAAACACGATTTACAACCTGAATAGGTGATAAAGCGAGAGATCTTTCAGCCCAATTCTACTTTTTCTGCATAATCCATCATACAAAATGTAATCAAATGGAAACGTCTCTTTTTTTTTTAAACTTGTTTTATTAGTTGTAATCTTTTAACTTTATGCATCAAGCGAAAATTAAATTATATGGAACATTCTCTGACTGGAAGAAATTTATTTAACATTTAAACCTATTTTCTGCACATTCCAGCACATAAAATAAAATATTTTTTGTGTTTACACTCAGTCTTTCAAATAGATGCCAGTGAAACACAGCAGAAAATAAATAAAATCAATAACTCAGCAGTCCTGTTGCTCTATTTTCACCTGTATAGCAGGCGGATGTGTGCCCTGGTGCAGGTGTGCTGCAGCGGTCAGTGGAAGAATCCGCAAGTTTTTTCTGTGAATTTCCCATCCCCAGGTAGCGCACTCGGTGCTTGCTCGGAAGTTAAGGGGGGTTTTCGCTGTAAAAAGAAGTTTTCTTCACACGCAGTCAACAGCGGACACTAATGTTTTTGTCACTTTTTACAGAATCAAACTCAAAATAAGGTCAGTACTTCCACGCTTTAAACGCTGCACGCTCATGCTCTCTCCCGCACTCGATATATAATCCATTGTTGATCTGCACACAGCTGTTGCCACGAATGTCGCACTCGCTTACGTCATTGTCATGAGACACTCTCGCAAAAAAAAATCACGGTTTTAGTAAGGCAGTAATGCAGCGTGCTTACGGGAACGTAACAGTAATCTAATTACCTTTTTTGCAATAGTAATCCCTTACTTTACTCGTTACTTGAAAAAAGTAATCGGATTACGCGTTACTGCCCACACTGTAAACCCCAACAGTCTACCTGACTTATAAAGTTTGTGGATATAACAATTAAAATTCCTCACAAAGTTGAAACAACTTAAAACTTTTCTGTTCGGTTAACGATTCAAACAGTTATAATTGTACATGGCTTAGAAGTTAAGAGTAAATACTGCTTTCTTAATTATGATTTTTGAGTAAATGTTTTTTTCCGAGCTCCGCATGTGGACGTCATGACGTCATGACGTCTTCTCTCTAACCTGAACGACGTTGACAGAAAATTCTGTTCAATATGGCTGCCCTTCTCGAGCGACTGGAGAACACATTTGGAGAAACTTGTAAGTAAAACGGAACCTTCGTTATGTTTATTTTTTCCGTAAAAAAGCAAGTATATTAATATGTTGCAGCCAATAACTTGTTTTCGAATGCGCTGTTGTGTTAAAAAGCACAGACCCAGGTGGTGAATAGTTGTTCGCGGTTGTTCGCGCTCTTTTTCAAACATAGATTATGTCGTCAGTTTTACAGTTTTAACCGATTAAAACACAGTTTTACGAAGAATCACACATAAAGAAAGGGTCTTAGTGATATTTTAACGACCCCTTGCCAACGCAAGAAAGTTGGCGTTTTTACAACAGCAGCCTCATTGTTCAGCAGGTTTTTTTTTTTTTTCTTCTCATTAGCATCATTCAAAAGTGACTTAGCTAGCAGTGGCAACTTCTATCTAAAACAATTGAAATATAGCAAGGTGTTGTATATTTAGTGTGCTGATAAGGTTTTCAATATTTTTATTTTTTCTTCCAAGGCTGAAGGCCAAAGACAAAAAGACAGAAGAAAAAAAAATTCAGACTGCAATTAATTTCAGGTGGAGACAGTAAACACAGGTGAGTTGAAAGATCTATTGAAGAAACCATTCATTAAGTCCCTTAAGGTGAAGATTTCATATATTGATAATGATAAAATTAACACAAATTAAAAGTTTCACTGATAAACACACATTTTTTCCTTGCTTTGAACCCCATGTTCTATATAGATCACAGCTCTGATCTGGAGAACACTATTTTAAAATACTGTGTAGGGTTTTTGTCAAATGATTAAGAAACATACTCTCTGTCACAAGAGACAGAAAGGTTGTATCTTAAAAGAAAAGTCTCCAAAATTTAGTAGAGTCTGATGTCATGCAGTTTCATAAACATGTATTCTCCCCAAAGAATGACACCTGAAAACTTTGCGTTAAATGAACTTTTCTTTTCCCTTTTTAGGAGGCGCCTGATATCAACGTGAAACGCACTGCAGTACTTCGTGCCCTTCCTGTATACCTGCGGGAGGAGGACCCAGAATTCTTTTAGACATGTAATGTAAGTGTATTTTTGCATTACTTAAATTCTGCCAGTAAGATAAAATGCTATGGATTTTTTTAAATACAATTTAATACCCTAGCAGCTACCAAATTGTACAAACAAAATACCCTCTCTGTAGAAAACCCACACACACACAGGTCAGGAGCAGGGCACAGGCATATCACAGCACTATGGCTATGCTGTAGGTGGCCCAAAAACCAGGCTGAAGTCAAGATTTAGTTTCTTTTTGAGATAAAGTCATGAAATAAAAAATTACTTTTTTTTTTAGAAAAATAATAAAAATACAAATTATGTAATGCAAGAAGCTAACACGTTAATGTATATTTTTCAAAAAAAGTAGAGTACCCTAACTCGTTACAAAGTAACCCACTACACTGCTGAATGTTTTGCTAGATTACAGGTCATGCTTGTCACATTCTCTCAAACCAACTTTACTTATTTAATTGGGGCGATCGTGGCTCAAGAGTTGGGAGTTCGCCTTGTAATCAGAAGGTTGCCGGTTCGAGCCCTGGCTCCGACAGTCTCGGTCGTTGTGTCCTTGGGCAAGACACTTCACCCGTTGCCTACTGGTGGTGGTGCCAGTGTCCGGCAGCCTTGCCTCTGTCAGTGCGCCCCAGGGTGGCTGTGGCTACAATGTAGCTGCCATCACCAGTGTGTGAATGGGTGTGAATGTCTGGATGACTGAATGTGTAAAGCGCTATACAAATACAGGCCATTTACCATTGATACTGTGTCTATTCCAGGCGGACGCATTGGATGAGTCGACCCTCATTGACACTCCAGTTGCCCTTCTCACAGTGGTTACCGACGGCGCTTCCCAGTCCAGTCCATTTTACTTCCTCAAGCATGGCTGTTTTGGTGAAAGGCGACTAGGTGATGCGTGATATTCCCAGATTTGCAAATGCATTTGCTTTATTGTTTGGCTTGATCTATGCTCTGCATTTAGACTACCCCAGGAAGCTGGTTCACACATTTGCCTTAGTCCAAAATATCTTCATGGGGCTTGATGACGGCAAACCCCTGAAACCCCTGCCTACATGCTCTTAAGGAATATAAAGCAATGTTTGTTAGGACACGCACTCTGTTACTGAGCACTTTGTTTGAAGCACTTTAAGCACTTTAAGTTTACTACAGGCTTTGGGTGGATTTAACTCCATCAGTTTACCTAATTTTCCTATACTTGACTGCCTTATCTGGTTATTTGGAAGCTGATCGTCTTTGTACCCATTTTAAAAAATTGTTTTTCATTTCTATTTAAAAAAAAAGTGATTAGTATTTGACTTTTTGTTTTGCATTTTTGTGTATTTTGAGAAAGATGCAATTAGGACTGATGTCACCCTTTGTGAGTTTATAAAAAGATAAATGTTCTACACAGAATTTATAATGCTCACTTTATGGTGCCGATGTCCATGTTAGTTGTTTTATAAAAACATTTGTGATGTTTTTAAATTTTCATGAATAAATGTTAAATAAACAAAATGTAAAGTAACTGAATTTCCGTACTTTTTTTTTTTAGTAGTCTACACTCACAACATAAATATCTTTTAATTAATAATCAGATAATTTGAGTTTAGGTTGTAATATAATTGCATTGTGTTGCATCAAAATAATAAACTACAAGAAACACAAAAATATTGAAATTAAAGTATACAGTCTTTGAGTAAAGCTCAATTAATAAAATATAAAATATAATTTAAAATTTTTAGGTTAACAATAAATACAAATTTTGAGTACCCCATACTTAGAAGATATGAGTTTTTGTACTTAAATCTTTTGAGGTAATCAGTTTCCACAAAAGTTTTAAGTTCAGTCAACTTGTTCGGGTTTACAGTGCATCTCTGGTTCTCACACCTAGCAAGACATATTTTCAGTCAAATAACTAAAAAAAAAAAAAAAAAAAACAAGGCCTCCAAAAGACACCAACAGCTCAAACACAGTAATTAGGTCCAGTTTTGTAACTCTGGTTGTAATATAGATAAGAACAGACAGCAGACCATGTTCCTAACTTTAAACTTTAGCACAAGGTAGGTTTGGAGTCAGAAGTTACTATATTTGGATTACAGGTAAGTTATTAGCTGAGTCAATATTGGTTAGCAAGCTAAGTTAGCACACGCACAGGCATAGATAGATCAAATAATTTTTTTGATATTTCAATTAAATTGGCCCAAAATGGCCCAAATATGGCTAAATCTACTTGTGAGACCTATCTACCTAACATACATGTCAATCAAAACAATCACAACCTTACCCAACCCAGCCATCACACTATTGTAATGAAGGTGGAAACAACGACCTGAGACATTTTTTTTGTACCAGGCTAAAAATAAGTTAAGTTTTTCAATTTAATATGGTTGTTTAAGGGGGCTGACTCACTTTTGGAGCAATCTCAAGTGGCCACAAGGGAAGGTGCACACAAAAACACACACACACAAAAAAAAAACTGGAAAACCTGGCAATCTGAGTATGGCCAAACAAATCCCAAGAAAAAGGCATTTTGTTTGGTGCTCATCAGCCAAATGAATAATGGAGCCTTCTAACTAGATTCTCAGTGAAACCACAATGCACCTGACCCACTGAAGTGGAGTGGGCAAGCGCAGCGCCAGCAGCAGCATCCGGTTGGCCAGTTGTCCAGACTCCATTAGCCTAGAAGAGCCATCAGTGAGGATTAGACAGGAGCCCTTTTCAATCCTCATCCAGCGTAACATCCAAGCCCCCCCCCCTTCTCCTAACCCCCGTCCCTCGCCAGTTCTCTGAGCATGAGCCAGGTTTTCCTGACTGGGCCACAAGCTCGGCCAGAGCCCTCATGTCTCTGGAGCCTCTGCCACTCTCCGCTTTAGCCTCAGCTGCTGGAGATGTTGTCCCTAATTAACAAGGGATTAAGCCATCATCTCGGCTTGTAATACAGCCTGGATGGGAATTCCAATATGGATGCTGGGATGAGGGGGGGGGGGCTGAGGGTAAGGGAGATTGGACTGGGTAGAAAGAGAGAAAGGGAGAGAAACTAGTGGCGTTTAGCAGCTCAGTAAATTACTCTTGACCCGTAGGACTGAGGGGAGTCTATCGGCACGGCAAGCTGGCTGCCAATTACAACAGCTCAGGCCTGCCAAAAGTTTTATTGGGTGGAGGGCGGGGGCAAGTTAGGAGGTGATTGCTGTGCATATGCGTGTGTGTGTGTGTGTGTGTTGGGGGGGGGTTCATTTTTAATGGCCTTTCACCATATTACTTTCTGTCAGGATTGGAAGTGTTTGCATTTGGAGGGATATTGACATAATTATGATGAGAATTTGATGGAGGTTGAAAATGAAAATATAACTTTTTTTTACAGTCCCCACAAGCCACTGTGTTCATTACACTGTCAGACAGAAATGTTTTATTCAGCTTTGTCTCCACTGACTGCTAAGATTTGGTATCTGCTATCCCCACATCATTACATTTACAATCAGTCTTACCACTTTTGTTAGTATTACAATTAATAATAATGTTACTGTCAATGTTTTTTATAGCAATAATAGCACTTTTAATAATCATTGTAAATATCTATAACCCAAACTAAAAGTCATTTCATTATTTTTCTAGACATGTGCTGTCCCTAATCCTTCCTACCAACAATCAAAAGTGAGGGTGACGAACTAAAGTCCATACAGTTTCTTACTACGGTTGGGCTACTATTTATGACCAGATCTTCATGCAAGTCTCTGGAAGAATGTTCTTTCAGCAGTATTATGAATTTCAGTTTTTTATGCTTGAATATTTAGCATAGTTTTTAACTGACCTAAAAAAACATGATGCATTAATTTTTGTACAAGGATATTCTTAAATATTGAACATGATTCAAATGATAAAGAAATAAATAAATGGGAAAATACAAGTGAGGTTGATGGTGTTGAGTTCGGCCCACACCGGGGTGCCTGTCTCATTAGGCATCTAGGTGAAGAGGCCTAGGTCACAGTAGGCTTGTGTGCCTTCGAAGATTTATGTGATACTCAGGGGGAGGACAATAGAGAGCCAGTGCCCGCTGACCACCAACAAGAGAACAAGTGAGAGAAAATCTCGCTTGCAGGGAAACAAAAGTAACTGTTGATGGGATGATCCTTCCTCAGGTTCACCAAGGAAAGCGTTTATGAATTTATTCCTAGACCTTGCTGACCAATGGCTGTTTCATCTTAGCATGAGTTGAACTACACAGGGAGTGAATTTGGGTTTGTAGGAAGAGCTGAAGTGCATCATTGTAACGAAAGGGATGTGCTTGATCAGAAGATCAGTACACTGAGACAATGATAAGGTCCCCCGTGGTACAATGCTGGATTCACCAAATTCTGACGCTACCGTTCAAATGTGGCAGAAGAAATCTCCACTGGTTTTCATCGTCTTCTACTTTCTAACTTTGGTGCAAATTGTAGCCTCAGTTTCCCGCTGCCAGGAGTCGTGTCTGGTTAGGACGTCTTCTGCTGTAGCTCATCTGCTTCAAGGTTGCCTGTGTTGTGCATTCAGAGCTGTTCTTCTGCATACCTTTGAGTTACTAATGCCTTCCTATCAGCTTGAAGTAGTCTTGTCATTCTCTTCTGAACTCTGAGATCAGCAAAGCATTTTCAGTTAAGATAAGATAAGATAAGATAACCTTTATTAGTCCCACACGTGGGAAATTTGTTTTGTCACAGCAGGAGTGGACAGTGCAAAAGTTATGAGGCAAAAATTAGAATACAATAAGAATAAATACAGTACACAACTGTACAGAATAGAATAAAATAAAATACTATATACAGTAGAATAAAATAAAATAAATATACAATAAGATAAAAATAGAATACAAATACAAATACTATATACAACTGAGTAAAAATACAACGATGACAGAAAGGATTATTGCACTTAGTATTATTGCATATGTATGGATGTGTGTGCTTGATCAGTTAAGGTCTTTATTATGGAGTCTGACAGCAGTGGGGAGGAAAGACCTGCGAAATCTCTCCGTCCCACACCGTGGGTGCCGCAGTCTCCCACTGAAGGAGCTGCTCAGTGCTGTCACAGTCTGCTGCATGGGGTGGGAGATGTTGTCCATCAGGGATGACAGCTTAGCCGCCGTTCTCCTGTCACTCACCACCTCCACTGGGTCCAGAGGGCATCCTAGAACAGAGCTGGCCCTTCGGATCACCCTGTTCAGTCTCTTCCTGTCCCCAGCAGAGATGCTGCCGCCCCAGCAGACCACGCCATAAAAGATAGCAGAAGCCACAACAGAGTCATAGAAGGTCTTCAGGAGTGGGCCCTCCACTCCAAACGACCTGAGTCTCCGCAGCAGGTACAGCCTGCTCTGCCCTTTCCTGTAGAGGGCGTCTGAGTTATGAGTCCAGTCCAGTCTATTGTTCAGATAAACACCAAGGTACCTGTAGCTGTCCACAGCCTCAATGTCCATACCTTGGATGTTCAGTGGTTGCAGTGGAGAATGCTTGTGCCTGCGGAAGTCTACCACCAGTTCCTTGGTTTTACTGGCGTTGATCTGGAGGTAGTTCAGCTGGCACCAGTCCACAAAGTCTTGGGTCAGACCTCTGTACTCCTTGTCGTCCCCATCAGTGATGAGGCCGACTATTGCAGAGTCATCAGAGAACTTCTGCAGGAAGCACTGGGTGGAATTGTGGGAGAAGTCTGCAGTGTAGATGGTGAAGAGGAACGGAGCCAGAACCGTTCCCTGTGGGGCCCCCGTACTGCAGACGACCCTGTCCGACACACAGCCCTGAGTCCTCACATACTGTGGTCGGTCGGTGAGGTAGTCCAGGATCCAGGTAGTGAGGTGATGGTCCACTCCAGAGTTCACCAGCTTGTCCTTTAGAACCGAGGGAAGAATAGTGTTGAAGGCACTGGAGAAATCAAAGAGAGAACTACCGCTCATTCTGAAGCTCAGGTTGTACTTTAGCAGGTATTTTTGACCATTCTTTAAAGAAATCTGTTACAGTGGGGCAAAAAAGTATTTAGTCAGCCACCGATTGTGCAAGTTCCCCCACCTAAAATGATGACAGAGGTCAGTAATTTGCACCAGAGGTA